AATTTTCACCCTGCTCTCCATCTGAGTCTGTCCCCATTTTCTTTGTTAGTTTTGTTTGTTCATTAGATTCCACATGTGAGTGAAATCATATGGTATTTCTCTCTCTCTGACTTACTAATTTCATTCATCATAATGTTCTCTGGGCCATCTGTACTGTTGCAAAGGTTAACATATTTTCTTTTTTACAGCTGAGTATTATTCCATTTTGTAAATGTCTTATAGTTGTCTTATCCACTCATCTACTGATAGACACTTGGACTGCTTCCATATCTTTGCAATTGTAAATAACACTACAATGAACATATGTGTGTTTGTGTTCTCTGAAATTAGTGTTTTAGGTTCTTTCAGATATATTCCCAGAAGTGGGATATAGCTGGGTTAAAAATTGGAAGAATCACACTACTTAATATCAAACTATACTATATGACTATAGTAATAAAAAAGCATGGTACTGACATAAAAACAGACCTATAGATAAATGGAACACAATAGAGAGCCCAGAAAAATAAGAATATTTTAAATAAGAAGACACAAAATGTAATGGTATGCCATTATGAGACAAGTTGTAGCATTTTTCATTTACTTTTCCATGTATCAAATACCTACTCTATATTCATATACCTAAAACAATATTCTAGGTTTTGGGGATATATCAGGTAACAAAATCAATCCCTGACTCTATGGAAGTAATATTCTGTCTGGGGGAAATATATGGCACACAATAGAAATAACAAATATATCAGTTTATCATTGTAAGAAAGTAAAAAGAATGCTGGGAAGAAGGAAGGTCAAAAAATAGAGTGAAGTGAAACAGATGTGCTATTCTGGGAAGGGGATTTCAGATGTAAATAAGATTCTACAGGTCAGCCATTGCTAATATGATGTTTGAGTGAGGGATTCTGTAGGTGAGGTGTTGATCAGGTGAATAGCTGGTGTAAAAGAATTCTAGAAAGAATGGTATCTAATTAAAAACTCTAAATCAAGGATATGCCTAGTGTGTTGAAGAGTCACCAAGGATACCGATATAGCTAGAATGAACCGAGTAGAGTGAGTGAGGAAGGTGGAAAGCTCAGATTTACAGGGTACAGAACAGATTATGTTGGGTTTATGGCCATTGTAAAAACTTTGTTTTCACATTCAGAGAAATGGATAAACCTTTCAAGCATATTGCCATGACCTGCCTTAAGCATTTAAAGGATGACTTGGTTTCTGTATTGACAATTAAATGTATGTGGGCAAGAAGAAGAAGAACCTGTAAAGAAGTTATTTCAATAAGCCAGATAAGTACTGAAAATGGCTTAAACTAGCACAGTGACTGTGGAGAAAAAAGCAATTACTTTGAAGATAGAATCCAAATGATTTTCCAACATGTTAAATGTGCAACATGAGACAAAGGGAATCTAGGGGTGATTGCAAGTACTCTGGTTTCGTAAATTGAGTGAATGGAGTTCCTATCAGCTGGACCCTACAGACATCACTTTATAGGGGACAGAAATTTTGCAGATGCCATTAAATTAAGGATGTTCATATGAGAAAATTATTCTGGATTTTCTGAATGGGCCCCGATCATATGTATCTTTAGAAAAGGAAGGCAAAGAGAGATGTTACACGTAAACACAGAGCGAGGCTGTGACAACAGATCAGAGAAAGGTTTGAAGATGCTAACTAGAAAATGCAACCCAAAGCCAAGGCGTGCTCTCCTGAAGCAAGCTGTCTTAGTGTATATCTCATCTTCCTTGATGCCACCGTTGACCTGTTGTTAAGTATGTCTGATGTATCACTTCCCACAACTAGTGGTATCTTTGTGTTAAGAAAACAACTCCAGCCCTGGCTGGGTGGCTCAGTTGGTTGGAGCACTGTCCTGTACACCAAAAGGTTGTGGGTTCAATCCCCCATCAGGGCACATACCTAAGTTGCAGATTCAATCCCTCATTGCAGCGCATATGGGAGGCAACCAATTAATGTTTTTCTTTCTCTTTCTCTCTCTTCTTTCTTCTCCCTCTCAAGTCAATAAACATATCTTAGGGTTAGGATTTTAAAAAACATAATAGACTACAGACAATAAATTTTATATTAATATAAAATATAGTGTCGATTTTATAATAGTGTAAAAACTATTATCTGTATCATTTTTTCCTAAATGATTAAAATATAACTTGAATATTTGGTTGCAGCTGAGACAAGTATATGCTGACTACCACCAGGCCAAAGCAATTGTATAACACTATAAATTGTAAGATGTATTTCAACTTCGAGTATCTTAATATGTGGGAAATGTGCATCTTAGAAACAGTAAAATGTACAATTAATTTCATTTGGGTGGAATATTTCCTGGACTGTAACATATCACATTAACAGTAGACATTCCTCATAAACATTTTAAAGGAAAGCATTATAGTAATTAAAATTATTTATAGCCATTCAATGTGAATTAAAAAATGTTCAGGGATAGAAGTAATATGATGGAAATATAAGTAACACATAGGGACAAATTTAAATCATCATTGGAGTAAGAAAAAAACAGTATTTTTTTGCTATAGAAATTTAAATCAGTGATAGGCAGAGTAAATTAATAATTTCCCAAACAGAAAAAGGATAAGTTCATAAACTGGGACTTGACCATGAATGTGTCTTTCTGTCCCTCATTCATGCTGCTTTTCCTTCTGAAAATGAACTCATACTGTAGAACAGCTTCTTCAGCACAGGGTAGGGAAAAGGACTTAGCCACTGGTAGTTTTGGGCTCATTTCATTTATTTGCAAGATATTTGCTAAATTAGCTTTGATACAGGGTGCAGCCGGGGGGGGGCGCAAAAAACAGATCTGGAATGGTGTCCAGAATTCAAAGTGTATAGGAATATTGGAGAGACATATAAGATGTCCTCACCCCCCCCCAGGGGGAAGAAACTAATGGAGCAGGGCCATTGAGAGCTGTTTTGCATAGCAACAGTTTTGCAGCTAACCTCTGGAATGATTATTTAACATATCTATAACCTTTAACCAGTTTCATAGATATGTTAAATAGCAGTGGCCAAGTTTGGAGCCAGGAAGAAGGGAGTAGGGGGGACTCAAGATGGAAATAGCGGGGACTCAGAATGTAACGAGGGGCTGCGCCCCTGAGTGGAAGGCCTGTGAGAGAGAGCCACGCGGTTTCAGCAGAGTGAGGACCCCTTCTTGGTGAGGTGAAAGAGGGAGCCACGCGGTTTTGGCAGGGTGCGGACCCCCTCTTTCCCAGGTGAAAGGGAAGAACCACGCAGCTTTGCCAGAATGGAGATCCCTGCAGCCAGGTGAAGAAGAAAGCCACATGCTTTTGGTGGAGTGTGGACTCCTGCAGCTTTGGTAGAGGAGGCCCACGTGGCTTTGGGGTGCCCCCTTTGGCCGCAGGGCCTGAAAAACCAAGAGAGACCTTGACTGGAACTGGTACAAAGGACTCTTGCCAGTGGACCATGAGAGGGTACCACAGTACTTTGGATTAACTCAAGATCCTGCACAGTGACACAGCTGACGGTACCAGCGGCCTGCAATACAGACGTGTGCTCTTTTCCTGATTTACGGTACCCGGAGTTGGGACAGTGGGAGAAGGGAGCGCTGTGTGGGTGTAGGTGTATACCCTAAAGGACTTTGATATTTTAGTGGTGGCATTAGGCCTGAACAGCATTAAATAAACATTTCATTTCCTTTTCACAAATCTCTGGCATTAAGAGATGTCTTTCCAATTGGCGGCGGACAGAAGGGCCCAGTAGATTTTAGTATTTTGTTTTTGGGAGGGGCCCCTGTTGTATAGCACTTTTGGGCATCCCTAGGTGGGCCAAATATTGTATTGCCCCTCCCTCGGACCCCCTCTTGTTCGGTAACAGTTTCACTGCTTAAACTTTAAAAATTACTCTCTATAGGATGATGCTGATGGATATGAACTGCATCATTTTCATAACTTTGTGCCATATAATCCTGGTTCTACTACACACAGAAATGGACAAAATTAGGTTTACAGTTGCATTGTGGCATTCTTTTGAGTCAGTAAAGCTATTGTAATAATCATAACTTGCATGTCTCTTTCCATACAGATAACAGTGAACCTACTTTTTCCCACCTCTGTATCATAATTACCTTAAGAACAACGGATATGCCCTGGCTGGTGTGGGTCAGTGGATTGAGTGCTAGCCTGTGAACCAAAGGGTTGCTGGTTAGAGTCCCAGGCAGGGCACATGCCTGGGTTGCTGGCCAGGTCCCCAGTAAGTAGCACAGGAGAAGCAACCACACATTGAGGTTTCTCTCCCTCTCTTTCTCACTCCCTTCCCCTCTCTGAAAATAAATAAGTAAATTATTTTTTTTTAAAGAGCAATGGATATTGTAGTTGAATAAGTTAAGAAGCTTTGAATCTTAAGTCTCTTTTGGAGATTTAAAGCATGTGCTAAATACACAGAGAAATTTCACAGTGGGGAAAAATACTTTTTTTCCCGATCATTCAATTCTCAAACAAAAAGACATTTATGCAAGAGGGCTTATTTTTCTGCACAGCAATTATTAATGTTCTCTTAACTCCTGTCTGGTTCTCACTTTTCAAGCAAAAAAGATAAGATTCTTCTCTAATGCATGTTATACTCAGGGAAAAAAGTAAAATAAAATGACTGAGAGACATAGTTCTTTAAATGAGGGAGGAAGGTCAATTGTTCGGTTTGCTCATACGAGTATCACTAACAGAGACAAGTAATATCTATGTAAAAAGACAAGTAACAGGAGATGGAAACCCAAGACTTTATAAAGAAAAAATATGACTCCTGGAAATAATTCGATTTATATAATAATATATAATAACATAGTACAGTATGATTTGCTACAAATTCCTGATCTCTTCTAACTCATGACTTTGAAATAACCCTTTTATTGGCAAACAAATTATATTCTCACGTCTCTTTTGTGGTTGAATTGTTGCTAATTCTCTGTTTTTCTTATTCTTGAAAGTACTTAAGCAGGGAGTCACCATATGCCTATAAACTTGTCTTTAAGCTTGAAGCCCCACAGGATATTTGCAGTATTGTTTCTCTCCTGGTCTGGCTTCAACCTCTGAGCGGCCACTATCAGTGAAACGAGCTGCCAGCATAGCTGGTAGAGCACAGAACACACCCATGCTGCTGACCAAGACTTCTGAAACCCACCTTCCTGGGAGCGAAGCTTAGACAAGCTTCTTCTTGACTCTAGGTGCCAACCTTTTTCTGAGAGCACTTACTTTGGAAACTTGTAAATTTCCTTCCTATGCCTTTGAGATGTAAAATTCCCCATCTTTGTTTCCATTGAGTTTGAACTGAGTTCTGGTCTCTCCCCCAAAGCATTAAGCTGTTCAACTTTATCCAGTGCAGTTTTTGCTTTGACAGTGCTATCTCTGGATCTTCCAAAATATTTACATTATCCTCCTACAAGAGCTTCCATGCAAGGGCAAGATAACTGCTTCCTAACTACTCCATGACTAACATCTGGGCTCCAAAGCGGCTTTGCTTGGGCAACCAATTAACACAAACTCCTCCAGGGCTGCTCCAGCAGATTCTGGTCACTGATCTAGGCCTAAAATCTCACCCAGTCCTCAAACATAGCTCCTCCAGTCTCTGGCATTCACTTATTTAACTGCAGGGGCAGAAATAAAGTGCTAAGGGGGCTTATAGGGAACAGATACCATGGGGTCTTTCCTGTCCTCTTCACTTTCCTTTTAAACCTCCCACCTCCATCTGAAAATAAAGATGTTAAGTGGAACAATAGGGTGTATTCACAGGATCAGTAGCACTTCAAGGCCCTGACTTCATTAGCAAAAATATTCTGCACCACCTTTTTCCTGTATGGTGAAGTTAAATAGCCCATGAAGTTGCTTTTGAGAAATACTTTTTAGATTTTCTGCACCCACAATTTCTGCTTTAGAAAAGTAGATATTCTATGTTTTAAGGTCAAATATGGAGATTCAAAAACATTCATTTGGGGGGAACAGGAATTGAGGTTTGACCTACTGTTACCTTTCCTTAAGCAATTTCTTGCCACCAGAACTCCAATGCAAACTCACAACAAATACAATGTTTCTTAAAAACACAGCCTCTTAGATTAGCAATGAGTAAAATTCTGTTCTATATGTTTTGACTTACACTCATTCAAAATACAATTTTGATTTGTATTACCAGTACTTACTCTATTGGTGGTGCTTACAAATTGTAAATAGGTTCCTAAAAGTGGTTTCTCTATTACCAAAATTGCAAATAAAATCAATAGTGAAATTGGTTTGAAAAGAAAATGACACAAGTACTTTCATTTATTGTGACAGTCCTGTTAAGGGAGCCACTTTAAAATGCCAAAATATATTTGAATTTGTCATTGATTCCAGATATTTTGACCTTTAGAGTTTTCCTCTTATATTTCATGAGCACTTACTCTAAAAGCTAAAGACACTTTTTACAACACTATATACACTAGAAGATAAATCTACTTCAAATAAATCAAATATACTACTTACAACAGTCATAAAAGCTTTAAATTCTTTAATATATATTACAGCTGCAAATTTGGTCGATACATGTATGTATAACATATATGAGTATAATATACAGTGTATATATAACATTTCAAGCAACCTTTGTATATATGCATTTTTCTTTATAACATGTATTTGCTGTGTCTTAACATGTCATAGCATATCCATTAAAGTGGAAGTCAGCTCTTTAATTCAAATTTTTATTATTTTACATCAGTTCTGCATGTCAAAATGATGAAATAAAGTATTTATTTATTTATTTATTTGTCTTACAAGTGAGTCTCTTTGATAATACATTTGACTGCTCCTTTGTTCCCCCCTCCTGGAACATTTATTGGCATTACACACAAATCCCTTCTCTTCTCCACCACGCAGTCCCAGGCTTGAGGTGGGGCCCCACTGCCCATTTTCTGAAACGAGGTCTTTGGCCTTAGCAACCTGAATTGCTCCCCGGGCTGTGAGCTGCTGAATCTTCTGGTTCATCATCTCCATGACAGCCAGTTTCATGGCATGCTTCTCCTGCAGGGCAGGCTGGATTTTCTCCATTTGCCTGGTGAGGAAGTCTATCTCCCTCTTGAAGAAGTCCTTGGCCTCCTCAGCTGTCTTCTCTATATGGTAGCCAGTTCCCACATCGATGAGCACGTGTTCCGCAGCATGTAGCTTCCTAGGGCCAGACACAGAACTTGTCAATGGGACGAGTAACTCTTTCCCCTCATTGTTCCTGTTCAGCACTTTCAGGCAGTCCTTGGCTTCCACATACTTCGTTTGTACCGCCTTGAGCTGGGCGATGGGCGTGGACAAGAACTCCACTTCCTGGTCCAGCTGGTTCTTGAGCATTTCCAGCTGCAGTAGATTCAGCTTGGTGATGTTGACTGACTGTGCCACGTTGGGACAGAGGGCAAAGAAACCGACTGCTCTTAATAGAACCTGCTTTCCATTGCATGGCTGGATATGACAGCAATAGGTAGTGAGGAAGTTACTGAAAACATTGGTTTTGAGTTTCAAATGGACAAAATAATTTGGTGTCATATTATAGTAAGGTAATTAGATATTTGGGCACAAAGATATTTACCTGGACTAGATTATTTTTCTCTCACTCCAATTTCACCTCTTAGAATGGCTACAGTCAACTTTATAAAGCACCATAGATACCAGACAACTCATGTAATTTGGGGAGGGAGAAAAAAAGCTCCAGCCCATGCTTCAACTTCATTAACTTTATGATTACTATTATTTTATCTTTGTCCTAGTGGTGCCTGTGGACATGTTCCTAGTGTCAAGCTCTTGTAGACAGAAAGAGCAATTCTTGCTATGACCTATTCTACTGCATAGGTTCAATAAAGGCAATACGCTTTTTAACCTATCATCTCCAGTGTTGGTGTAGGTAGAAGTAAAGGAATAAAACCACTTGCTTCTTCCAACTAGAAAGAATCCAAGGAAGCAGTAACACAATTCTTTGTTTGATTCTGTTTTTAATTCTGTAGCTATACTATTTATATGAGGCAATCTAGTATTTAGTAACAGTACTAAGGAGGATGGGAAAGCTATGAGTAGCATTATTCTTACATGTTTCTCCTTCATATTCATGTGAACATCTGGAAGTCACTTTCACTTGACATCATTAAATGCACCACCAGGTTCCATGGAGCGTGGTACAGGCAGTATCCTCCCAATACCTTAAATGTATTTTTCCATTTTACAGTTAAGAAGATTAAAGCTAAGGAAGGAAATCTCAGGATTTCTAACTCCAAAAATACCAGGGCTTAAAACTTTGCCCTAGAAGAGCTCAATACACACGAGTGACTGGGTGGTAGGTGTTTGGGAATGGACTTAGGAACATTAGAGGAAATAACCTTAACTCAGGAATGCCAGACAGAGCGCTTGGTTAGATGACAGTTACGTGGGAATAAGAGCACTAGATTTTCTAGGCATATAACTTTGTAAGGAAAGCCAGTGTTCTTCCTTTTATGCATTTATTTTACACATAAAATATATGCCACAATGCTATATTTTGACAGTAATGATGGTAATAATATGAAACCCATGTCATCTCCAGAAATGTTAACTAATTAGTAGACTACATAAATGTAGAGAATGAAACAAACATAAACTTGTCAGTGCTGATTTCTTCTGAGTGCAGAATTAGATTACACAAAGTCACATCACTATTAAGACTTTCAGACTTCTACAGAACCCAGCACTGGAACCCCAACACACTTAGAAGAGCTTCTAACCTGAAGCACTTGTCTGTCTTAGAGTCTGCATTTTAGATACTACAAGAGCTCGTGATCTCACTCAAAGGTGGTTTTTCGGGTCTTTCACAGAACTGTAACACATTTGAATAGTTTGCTTTTCAATTAGAAGAAAGCTGTACATGGAAAAAGAATGATGTTTGAAAACTTACCAGATCTGTGTTGAGTGTTCATGTAAAATAAAGGTGGACTTTGTGGAGCTCACTGTTGAAAGAATACACAAGTGCCCCTGTAGTCTGACAGCATTTAACCTAAATTCAAGTAAATTTATAAACCTTAATATCTTCATGTAAAAGCCTGCCCCATCACATTTTTAAAAAATGATGGCCATAATAATGAACTCATATAATTAAATTATTTTAATATGTCTCCTTTAAGTTTAAGATGTCTAACAATATGAGATATAGTTTCATCAGAACTGTGACTTTTGAGGATCTTTTAAATTAGCTGGCATAAAATTTTTAATCCCTTAAGACAGAAGAATTCATTAAGAAGGAACTTATGAAGAAGAACAAAATGGATTGATTTTGATCAATTAGACATTTCCAAGTAGGAAAATTATTCTTTAATACCCAAATTTATAAAATAGTCCTGAAAAAAAGTTAATTTCTTCACTTTACTGTAAAAATTTAATGGCACAAACTATGAACATGAATATAAATTTTAAAATAAACCAAATTTTATCTACATTAAAAAGAACAGAAAATAATACTAAACAACACTTTTTAGTAGTGAATTTAATATATATCTTATTCAGACAAATTTGCACATTTACATGAATGTCAACAATTATTTTATTAATTCTATCATAACATTTTATGCATAAATCCACGGACCTCCTCTATGTCGGGACCTCTTCTCAAGTTTGTGATTCGATACTGGAAGGGCAGATCCATCCCTGCTCTCCAAACCCTACATTCTAATTGCAACCACAAAATACCAAGTTCTAATGTGAAAATAAAGCGCATGAACAGGTCAACAAGGGAGTGACTAGTGAATATTTCAGATTTGGGTATACGAAAGCCCTGAGCCTGTGATGTTTCAGTTGAGGGCAAAGAAAAAGAAAAAGAAAACTAATGGAGTTAGATGTTATTCATTCCAAGAAGCAGTTGCACGTTGTTTGTTTTTCAAACGGGATTTTTTTCCTCCCCATTGCCCTGGCTAGAGCTTCTTAGGCAATGCTAAACAAAAGACTTGACTGCTCCATTGTCCTCTGGCTTGCACTTCATTTGATCAAAAGTCTTCTCTTCTTCCAATCATCACACTGTATATAAAACATGTTTTTCCTACTGTTGCTTCAATACTTCTCTTTATTTTTAGTTTTAACTTGTTTTATTATTACTTATTTTCATATAATTTTTGTTTCCTATGTTTAGAATTTGCTAAGATTCTTGGATCTATAGGTTTATATTTTTTCGACAAACTTGGAAACGTTTAAGCCACTAATTTTCCATTTTTTCTGTCACACTCTCTACCTCCTGAAGGATTCAAACTCCCCATGTATCTGGTCACTTGAACAAACGCTCCTTCTGCAATGCTCAGATGCCGCATTAGCTTTATTAGGATCTTTTTGTGTGTGTGTTTCATCTAGAATAGTTTCTATTGGTATATCATTTAGCTTACTATTCTTCTTTTTTACAATTTATTATAATTTACTATTAATGCTATCTGATGCACTGTTTATTTTAAACATTGCATTATTTGTTTTTTTGGCAACTCAATTTGGGTCTCTTTTATACCTTTTATGTCTCTATTTCATATGTACAATATTCCCCCCTAGTCTTTTGAACATGTAGATTGCAGATACGATGACTGCTCCTTTAATATCCTTGTGTACTACTTTTAATATTTATTAGTTCTGTATCACATCTGAGTGATTAATTTTAACTTTATTTTGGGTTGTACTTCCTTGCTTCCTAACATTTATGACATTGTTGATTAGATACCAGAACTTATAAAATTTTGGGGGGATAGTTTATATGTTGTAACCCTATAAATATTATTGAATTTGTTTTGGAATTTATTCAATTTACTCAAATATAATTTAACCTCTTCAAGGTTATATTTTAAGCTTTGTTATTTATCATAAAAAAGCACTAGTCTAGATATGATTTTCCCCACTCCCGAGACAAGCCCCTCCTGATTACCCAATGCCGCATTAATTGAGGGTTTTTCCATTCTTCATGTTGAGCATACAGATTATTCCCAGCACCGTGTGGCCTCTTGTGCTTGCTCTGCCTGTTACTTTTTGGTGATCCTTTCCATCAGCTTTGTGTAGTTTTCTTATACATATGCGCTGATCAGTACTCACAAGATAACATAAGAGAAAACCTAAATAATCTTGGAGTAAGTGATGATGTTGCAGAAACAACACCATGCTGATGATTTATGAAAAAAATAACCAATAAGGCAAAATGTATTAAAAAATATATATGCTCTGCAAAAGACAAGTCAAGTGTCCAGAGAATGAAAAGTCTCAGGTAAAGAAAATATTTTAAAAGGCATATTGATAAAAAGCAGTTATCCAAAATAATCAAAGAATTACTAAAACTCAACAATAAGAAACAACATGATTAAATAAAATGCCAAAGACCTTAGTAGACACCTCACAAAAGGAGACAAATGGTAAATGAGTGCCTGAAAATATGCCACACATAATGTATAATTAGGAAAATACAAATTGAAAGAGCAAATGGCACTATTGTAAACCTAGCAAAGTATCTACAAACCCTATGGTTCAACTCTATGACATTTTGGAAAAGATAAGCTATGAAGACAGTAAAAAGCAGCGGTTGCTAAGTCAGAGTTCATAAGTAGGAAGAGCATGAAGGATTTGTAGGGAAGTGATCATGTTACAGAGCAGAGGTCCAAGGGGGGGCAATATTTGGCCCACCCAGGGACACCAAAAACTGTTACAGAACAGATACGCTGGGGCTGGACTCCAGAGGATGGTATGTTAATATCATCTGGACCACCTACTGGGCCTTATCATTCATCGCCAATTGGAAAGACATCTCTCAATGCCAGAGATTGGTGAAAAGGAAAGGAAATATTTATTTAATGCCATACAGACCTAACATTTTCATTAAAATATCAAAGTCCTTTAGGATACAGCGCTCCCTTCTCCCCCTGCCTTAATTCAGGAAAGGAGTACAAGTCTGTTTTTCCAGGCCGCTGGCACCGTCAGCTGTGTCACCTTCCAGGCAGGATCTCCAATTAACCCAAAGTCATGTGGCACCTTTTCATGGTCCACTGGCAAGAGTTCTTTGTACCTATTTTTTCAGGCAAAGTTTCTCCTGCTTTTCAGGCCACTCACCTGAAGGGAGCATCCCAAAGCTGTGTGGGCCTCTTCTACCAAAGCTGCAGGGGCCTGCAGTCTGCCAAAAGCATGTGGCTTTCTTCTTCACCTGGCAGTAGGCATACCCATTTTGGCAAAGCCACACGTTTCTCCCCTTCACCTGGCCAAGAGGGGGTCCTCACTCTACTGAAAACCATGAGATTATCCCTTCAATGGCTGCCGTGTCCTGGTTTAAATCCCTGCACCAATCTTCCTCTGTAACCCTATTTTTGACTCTTCTCACAATCCACTACATGTTCCAGGACTCCCATATCCTCCCAGCTTTACAGGGCTGCCATAGTGAGTCTGGGCAGGTGTGGCCCCATGGCATGGAGCCAATCAATTCCAAGCTCTCATGAAGGTGTTGTAACCAGGGGGTGTTGCCTCTCAATTACATCCTAGGTGGAAGTCACTTCCTTCTCCCTGGCTCAAAGCATAGC